TTTTATACAATCGTCTTCGTCACTTATAAATAATATCGAAAAACTGAATATACATGCGTCAAATATGCCGCTGACTTGGAAGAACTTCGCCACGAATTTAAAAATTTACATGCGGGCAAATAACTTTGAAAAGGAACCTGAATCACGTAAGGTCGCCATTTTGTTAGCATGCATCGGCAGCGAGGCGCTAGAAATATTTTACTCATTTAACGTCGACATCGATATCATCTCTTTCGAAGAACTCCTTAAGAAATTCGAGGATTTTTTTCTGCCTAAGGTAAACATAACAATGGAAAAGGCACAAACTCTTCAATAGAAAGCAAGGTCAAGACGAAGACATTGCGTCCTATGCTACAGATATCAAGAATATCAGCCTACAATGTGGTTTCGACGAGCTGCGCGACAACATATTAAAAGATGTATTTTCATGGAACCTAAACAGCAATAATAACTACATCAGGGAAAAACTTCTAACTAATGACCCTAAAACATTTCAAGAGTCATTGGATCTATCCAAAAAATTGGAAACGTCAAGACAACAAGCCAAAGTTCTACAAGGGGAACAGTCTACTACGTCACAGTCATTCGTCGGAAAGGTATTAAGTCAAAAACAGTCAACTAACAAACATTTATACAATTTTAGAAGTTCACGTAGTATCAGTCCGGGTAGGAGCCAGTCGAGAGGCAACCTCACCAGTCGAAGCCCAGTCAAGAAAAAAGAAGCCAGTCCATGTCATCGTTGTGGTCAAATACAACCGTGTCCGTTGCCCAGCCATTGGAGTAATCTGCAACTTATGCAGGAAACCAAACCATTTTTCCAAGGTATGTCACACCATTCAGAAAGTCAATGCTCTCAGTCAGTCAGACTCCGATGTAGAAATATTTGTAAGTCAAATTTTGTTGTGTAATTCAACTAAAAACAGTGTATTTCAAATTGAACTATTAATAAATAATATTATCATTAACTTTATATTAGACACAGGTGCAGAAACTAATATTTTATCTCTCAATGACTTTAGAAAATTAAACTTATCTACAAATATCTTACAAAAAAGTAATCACAAGTTAAGTACATTTAGCGGAGAAGTTATACAAACAGTAGGTATGTGTAGTTTGCCTGTAATATGCAATGACCAGTCTCATGATATAATATTTCATATTGTTGATTTGCCATGTAAAAATATCATTGGTCAAGAGTCTTGTCAAAAGTTAAAGTTAATCAAAAGAATACATAATGTCAAGTTTCAGTCTAATATAGTACAAACAGATATTTTGTCCAAATATGCTGACTTATTTGAAGGGATAGGTTGTTTAAAAGATTATCAAGCTCATCTTGTTCTAAAACCTGATGCCATAGCCTCCATAGATCCCTGTAGAAAAGTCCCATTTCGTCTTGCTGATAGACTAAAAAGAGAATTAGAGTCCCTAGAAAGAAAAAATATAATTAAAAAAGTAGAGGAACCTACAGAATGGGTTAATTCATTAGTACTAACTTCAAAGAAAGATGGAAAGCTTAGATTATGTATTGATTCCTAAAAAATTAAATAATGCTCTCATGAGACCTCATTTTCCTTTACCTACCATTGATGAAATTAGATCTACACTAAGTGGTGCCAAGTATTTTAGTACTTTAGATGCTAACAAAGGTTTTTGGATGATGTTGCTAGATGAAGTATCCTCAAAACTTTGTACATTTAACACTCCTCAAGGAAGGTATCGTTTTCTTAAGGCTACCCTTTGGTATTAATGCAGCCAGTGAAATCTTTCACAGTGAAATGGTTAAAAGATTTAGTGACTTGGAAGGAGTAAAAATAATGATAGATGACATTTTAATATATGCTCCTGATAAAGAAACTCATGACAAACGTCTAGAAAATGTTCTAAAAAGAGCTAGAGAGATAAACATTAAATTTAATAAAGAAAAGTCAGTAATTTGTAAAGAAGAAGTCCGTTATTTAGGTCATGTTTTTTAGTCAAAAAGGTGTGAAAGTCGATGAAAGTAAAGTCAAGGCAATTTGTGATATGCCTACACCTAGTAATGTCAATGAACTACAAAGATTTTTAGGAATGGTCAATTATTTAGGTCCATTTATTGATAATTTGTCCCAAAAAACTACTTGTCTAAGGTCTTTACTGTCAAAAAACACAAAATGGTCGTGGTCACATGAACACAACACAGAATATAACAGTCTAAAAGAAATTATAACAAAAACTCCAGTCTTAGCTTACTATAACCCCAATAAAGATATTACACTGTCAGTCGATTCGTCAAAAGATGCAATGGGTGCTGTCATTTGTCACAATAATCAACCAATAGCATATGCATCATCATCATTAACACCTTGTCAACAGTCATATTCTCAAATTGAGAAAGAACTCTTAGCTATATTGTTTGGGTGTACTAAGTTTCACCAATACATATATGGTCGTCAAACACTGGTTGAAACTGACCATAAGCCAATTGTCTCATTAATGAAAAAACCTCTTCATGAAATACCACCTAGGTTACAAAGAATCATGTTAAGACTCCAGCCTTATGATCTTAAAGTCTCATACAAGCCTGGTAAATATTTATATATAGCAGACACACTGTCAAGAGCTGCATTGTCAGAACAATCTTTGAAAGAAGTAGATGAAGAATTAGACTTGCACATAAATATGCTAATTAGTACATTGTCAGTCAGTCCTGAAAAACTAAAGAAATCAAAGAAAACTCAATTAAGGATGAAGTCCTAAGTCAAATAATTACTTACTGTCAAAACGGTTGGCCTGAACACAAAAGATGTGTTTTCAGCATCAGTCAAACCATACTTTGATTTAAAACATCAAATATATGTCATAGATAATATTGTATTCAAGGATACAAGCATAATAATTCCATTCAATATGCGTGATTATTTACTTAATTTAATTCATGAAGGTCACCAAGGCATCAACAGCTGTATAAGACTAGCTAAAGGTACAATTTATTGGCATAACATTAACAAAGATATAGAAAAATTTGTCAGTCAGTGTCATACATGTCTTACATTCCGCAATAACAATAGTAAAGAACCACTAATCTCTCATGATTATAAACTTTTAGCATGGAATAAAGTAGGTATGGATTTGTTTGATATAAATAATAAAAAATACTTAATTGTCGTAGACTACTTTTCAAAATATCCAGAAATAGCACTTTTAAACTCATCTAATTCTAGTAGTGTCATTACTCATTTAAAGTCTATTTTTGCACGTCATGGAATCCCTCATATTGTCATAAGTGACAATGGTCCTCCATTTAATTCAAATGAACTAAGTGATTTTATGAGAGAATACCAAATTCAACATATAACTTCTAGCCCATATCATAGTCGCTCAAATGGACTAGTTGAACGTTCTATCAGAACTATAAAGAATATCTTAAAGAAATGTTATTCTGATAAAAAAGATCCTTATCTTGCCATATTACAATATAGAAATACTCCTAAAAGCTGTGGTTATTCTCCAGCACAACTGTGTATGTCACGTAGTCTTAGAACTAGGATACCTATCTCAGATTCTAACTTGAAACCTAAATGTATTGATTATAGGAGAATGAAACAACACATTGATACACATAAACAAAGAACATCACTTTATTATAACAAACATACAAAGTCACTTCCTTCTTTAAAACAGGGTGAAAAAGTTTACTTCAAAAAACAACCACATAATAATTATAATGCTTGGATTCCAGGAATCATTTCTAAAGTAGGCCCAGAGCCACGTTCTTATATAATTTCAAGTCCAGAAGGTGAATTTCGTAGAAATAGAGAACACATTCATTCACCAAAACATCCACCGACTATTCAATTTCAATCAAAGCCATCAGCCAATTCACATCATATTTCATCAAATTCCAATCCAACTTTGTCTTCTAGAACCGATTCTTCAATAAAATATTCCAGATTTGGTCGTCAAATTCGTAAGCCCGATAGATTCAATTAGTTATTTCGTAACTTTGTCTTATTATGGTAATTTTACTTGATAATTACATTAGTTTTAATTTCAAAAATTTAAATTAATTTGTCACTTGTCATAGTCAAACTGTCAAAATCATAATCAAACGTCACTTGTCATGGTCATATGTCAGTAATTGTCAACTTCAAAAAAGATGTCATTTCTTCATAGTGTTGCAAGCACAATGTATACATAATATTAAAATTGTATAATAAATGTTTTTTTTTTTGTTTGTTCGAAGGAAAAATGTAATGGATATATATATATTGTAAATGTATAAGGTATAATAGTTATAACTATGTGTGTAATGTAACAACAATAATTTGTAAAATAATTTTGTATTCCTTCAACAATTGTAATTCTGCGTAAAATTTTATTTTGTAAGGGAGGTGTTGGATAGTGTGTAAACCTCATTATTGTCTATGGTTAATTAGTATTAAGAAATAAAATGGACACTTCCGTCTGGTCAATGGCTTCAACGTGAACGCTTGTTTCATTTACACCCGAGTCCTAGTAAATAATAATATAATAATAAATACTTAGAACATAACAGGTATCATCGGTTGAATATTCTCAATTATATAATATTATTAATATGCCTTAGTAGTTCTAATGTCGAATTAGCCGGTCAATGGACAACGCTAATTAAAGACTTTTAAATTTTTCAAAATTCAACATTGTGGTCCAGAATGAATCATCTCATATTACGTAATTAAATTATTAAAGTATTGTTATTAAAGTATTGTTTTTTTTACATCTCAGTTTAAACCTATCCCTTTGGGCAGATATATAAAACGACGCTCATCATAAGCGATCATCAGTCTTAAACTGGGCAATATCAAACAACTGTGCCTCTGCCAGATATAGAGTCTCAGTATCGACTTGTTCCTCTGTCGGGTATACAAGGGAGGCTCATCATAGCGAGTCTCAGTCGCAACCAATTCCTCTGCCGGGTATACAAGGGAAGTTCGGCATAGCGAGTCTCAGTCTCAATCGGTGTTCCTCGAATTGTAACAATAATGTCGTCGAGTTTGTTAAAGTCAGAACAGGACGTGAGAAAATGGATAATCACGTTGAAGCTGTCGTACGGGGAGGTATGTGAAAAGTTTGGAATCGACATTAACAACGATCGTCGTAACGCCTTCTTCTGGAACATGATGCTTGATAAAAAAATTATCATCAACGAAGAGTTGTTGTCTTGGTGCGGTTATTATGGTGAATATAAAAATATGAAAATTTTTAAAACTGCATTCGCAAGACTAGGTGTACGCCACCCGACTATGTCTCTGCCCAAACCTCGAATTCAAAGACTTGTATTAATATCATGCATTACTTTATTCTTTATTAAATTCATTTATTTATTATTATTTTTTATTCATTTATGTATTTATATTATTTATTATTCTATAATAAATAATATAAAATACATCCTCTCCCTTCGAAAGATACTTACCAACTGACTAGTTCTTTCTCCCACCTTTCCTTTTATACTTCTCATTTTGAGAGTTTGCTCATTCTACAGAGACGAGTCAAGACGATTCTAGGTCAGATGACGTCACCCAACAAAGACAAGTCTCGACGCGTTACGAGTTTACAACGATCACGTTGAATCGACGTGATCTTTGACGTGATATAAAAAAAAATCCATTTTTTTTAAATATAATATATTAATTTAGTATAAAATCAGCGCTTCTATACAAGTGTAATATCATGGGAAATTTATATTCCGTCAAATATGCATACGTTTGTTTAAAATAATTTACTGAAACAAAATATTCCTTGATTAAATATTCTAATATTGCATTAACACTCGTTATCTTATATATTTAAACGAGCTATTCTTGTATATATATATATATATATATATATATATATATATATATATATATATGTCGTGTTATCCATATACTACGAACACCATCTTTAGTGGTTACTCATCTTGTGGGCGTTATCAGGGCTCAAATAATAAAGTATTCAGTGCTCTATACACAATTTAATCAGGGAAGTCACAATGTTATAAACTTGAAATGGTAATTCTAATGATTTAGAGCTAGCGGGTTCACAGTCACCGATCATCGACTTCCAACTACAATATCAAATATAACTCTCTATGATCAACCAACGTTACTAAGCCACGTATCTCCAAAGAATGTCGTGATGGCGTCTCGACCCCGCTCGAGACTAAATCTCTGCTCTACATTCAAAATAACTTTAAAAAGTAAATTAAAGAACATAGTGACTTTAAACAATAATAAGGTTTCATAACAGAAAAAGGTAACTAAATCCTCCTCCGTCTCGGCCATCCTGCTGTTCACACGCCCTCGTGTGATCTTGAAAGTCTAGCATAAGCGTCATCTGTAGACAGAAAAAGCAAATTTTTAGAAAACATTGTTCGGCCAATCCTGACCAAATATGACCACAGTGGCCAATCTAACTGATATAATAATCGATGCAGTAGATATTACATTGCAAAAGTGTACTTAGTACAAACAGACACCAGTTCACTCCCTATTCTTTTGACTCTAAATTCCGATGTACGAAATATCAAAATGAGTATTGGCTCCTTTTTTAGCCTTATATGTTATCATTTAATATAACGATTCATATCATACTTTACTCATTCTACCTAACCATTCAATCAGCAAGTTTTATTCTTAGGGCAAATTTCTCAAAACATATTTTTTAAACTAACTGAAACCTAAAAACTACACACACGAAGTTATAATTGAGTACAAATTACAGAAAATCTCATTGAGTACAAATAACCGAAGTAAGTGTCTCATATTATGTCAATCAAGTTAAGTTGGTCCTACAAAAATCAATCGATGCGACACAACCCAACCGATGCCACACAGACAACTCTCGCCATTCAGGCTACATGTGCCACCAAGTTACTTTTGCCACACAGGCAACTCTCGCCACTCAGGCTACATGTGCCACCAAGTTACTTTTGCCACACAGGCAACTCTCGCCACTCAGGCTACATTTGCTACAAAGACTCGTCAACGCCAAATAGACACCCCATTGTCTAAATACCACCTTCCACCATCGTCGCACAGCAATATCAGAATCATACAGCCTCATCGTGCTACTTCGGCTTGTCAATGTTACATAACTTCGTCAATTCAGTCACCCTAGCTTGTGCTACGTAGGTTCATTAATGTTAAGCTGCTAGATATTATTGGAAATAACTAAAATTACAACCGTCTTTAACGGTACATTCCTATATCAATTGCCAGACACATCTAAACAAAATGGAAACGTCTCACCATATAACATTCATATTAGATTAAATGAAAGAGTCCACAGATATCCATTTCTTGCACAGCCCAAGCATCTCTGGATACCGTCTTCTTCTAGGGCATCGTATACGTCTGATGTGATCTGGTTTAGCGTAAACTAAACTGGCTAAAGCAAGGCGTCATCTTTACGCTAAATACATATTTGGAACACTTGAAATGAAGCACCTGAAAATTCATATTATTTAATATTGTGTCACAGTTGTTATTACCATCGGCCCGATCTAATTATGTTTAATCTTTGGACCAAATAAAGACATGTGAAATCGGTATTATATTCAAAGATTTCTATCTGAGCCTGCGTATGAGAATGTCTTCGGAGTGTACACAAACATTAGTTCTTCGCTGTATCAATGGTTTGGTTTATTAATGGTAATACAGTCAACTATTTCTCATATTTCACTTGATGAACTGCAAAAAAAATTTGTTACATAAAAACATCACTTTTATACGAGGTGGTATAAAAAAAAATTATAGTATAATCAGTGATCATGTTATTTTCCCAATATATTTTGCAAATATCATCTTTTAATGACGGGAAATAGTAAGCCTTTTAGTTAAATTTTATTTTATCAAAAATATCAACCCAATATTTTCACTTTAAAAATTCTGAAATAAAGCAAATATAAAGCAAACAATTACAATACAAAACATTTTTGACACTCTAAAATTCTGACATGATTTATATTTTATTTCAGAACTAGAAGAAGGTCCTTATAAGCATCGAACAAAAACATTTCAAAAATTATTCTCGTAATTTATCGATTAAATAAATTAACTTCATATAACATCCTGAAATAAACAAATTTTCCATTACTTTCTCTATACATATTGTGTTCAAAAATATTTCTGCGATAATAATATCAAGAAAATCAAATCCAGCTAGCAACAAATCTATATCGACGTCATGTCATTCCATAAAAATTAAATTGAGACATCTATGATTATTTTAATCTTTTGAGCATCTTGCATATCATATATCATGATTCATGATTATCAAAAAGTAAATCTTCCGTAAAACAACCCGCATATTTTGTGCATCCGTTTTAAATAACATTTGACATCGCATTTCGTTTCAGTTTGAGAAAATTTTTGCAGCAATATTTTCAAATGGCCGCTGTCATCTATCTTTGCCCTGTTCTTCGGGTATCATACCACTTCTGATGTCGTGTTATCCATATACTACGAACATCATCTTTAGTGGTTACTCATCTTGTGGGCGTTATCAGGGCTCAAATAATAAAGTATTCAGTGCTCAATACACAATTTAATCAGGGAAGTCACAATGTTATAAACTTGAAATGGTAATTCTAATGATTTAGAGCTAGCGGGTTCACAGTCACCGATCATCGACTTCCAACTACAATATCAAATATAACTCTCTATGATCAACCAACGTTACTAAGCCACGTATCTCCAAAGAATGTCGTGATGGCGTCTCGACCCCGCTCGAGACTAAATCTCTGCTCTACATTCAAAATAACTTTAAAAAGTAAATTAAAGAACATAGTGACTTTAAACAATAATAAGGTTTCATAACAGAAAAAGGTAACTAAATTCTCCTCCGTCTTATATATATATATATATATATATATATATATATATATATATATATATATCTATCTCAATATATAATCTGAATCTCGGAAACGACTCCAACGATTTTCATGAAATTTAGTATACAAGGGGTTTCGGGGGCGATAAATCGATCTAGATTAGTCTTATATCTGGAAAAACGCGAGTTTTCGAATTTTCATGTGATTTTCTTTTGCATTTTCACAATTTTTGCATTGTCAGTTGTCAGTTGTCACTTCTGGTGGGTGGGAGGCGCCACTGTGCAACTGTCTACACTACATCGTGTCCGTATTTATATCAAGTTTAAAAATATTATAGTGGAAATAATCTAAAGAAAAGTGTTAAAAATAAATTATAAAACCTATGGGCAATATGTAATCATCACCAAGTCTTGATGTGTTAAAGAACAAATGAGCTTTAAAAAATTCACCTACCAAACAAATACAAAAGTGACAAACATAACATATAGATACTATCAGTGCAAAACCATCTTTTCCGTGTGTGATGACAATAAAACAAAATAAATTTGTGAAGTGAAAGCGTAAAATATTAAAACATAAGTTTATAACCTCAAAAACTAATACTCGGTATAAAATTGCAATTCAACTAGGTATAGGTAATTGGTGCTCTTTTTCAATCAGCTTTTCTACTTCCGACTTCTCACTTAAGATGGAGGACAAAAAAATTGCTAATAAACATGCAAAAGAAATAAGACAGCAGAAAACAGAAATGTTAGAAATGAAAGAAGACATTAAAAATACAATCAACAATAATATACTTAAATGAGAGATTTAAACACTTAGAAATAAAAATTGAAGTTCTTGAGAAAAAAATCCAGGAACAAAGTACCTCAATAAATAATTTAGAAAGACATATTAGGCGCAAGAACTTGGTTATGTTCAGAGCAGAAGAAGGTGAAAAATCCTATCATGAACTAGAGGAAAAAATAGTCTTAAACAAACGCAAGGAGTTACAAATCCAACTGAAGATAAAGAAAAAGAACTAGGCAAAACAGCTTTCTTTAAATATGACAAACTAATTATTGTGGATAATAATAAGAACACTTCTCACCAATACTCAAATAAAAGAAGTCTGCCTGTATCTCCAGAAACGCCTTACCTCAATTATAAACAAAAACTAACAAATAAACAAGATACAAAGAAAACCATACCTGGTAATATTACAGACTTTATATTACAAAAACCAAAATTAACTTTCAACCACACAAATGATAACCAGGAACAACTAAAAACAACACTGCAAGATACAGTTTATTAAACACGGTAGGAACCTCCTCATCTTTATTCCTCAGTACGGCCGGTCACCATAGGGGAGTTCGACCATAACCCTCCAAAGAAAAACAGACATACAATGAACAAAGGTATACATATCTTCACAAGAAAAACTTGTAGAATTAAAAGCAGTATTTCCTACAACAAATCAAAAGAACACAAAGATAAAATTATAAACTTGATAGGCATATCAGAAACAAATTATATATTGGAAACAAAATTTGAAAAGAAACCCTTTGCCAACGGAGAGCTCTATGCAGGACTACTTTGGAGTTAACCGAGAGGGGTCTATACATGAAAAAGACATTTACTAAATAAATACATTTAAATATGAAATTAAATACCTAATTAATAACTATTGTCAGAATTAATGTATGGAAAGAAATTTTATTTATATTTATTATTGTGAAATGTTTAGTATTTACTCAATTGAATTATTTAATTTATTGTCATTGTT